CCCCTGCATCTCTCTTATTAGACCATTTCTTGCCGTCAGGGATTTCTTCATAAGCAGACCCCTGCATATGGAGGTACTTAGTCCATCCTATATGTAAAACATTATCTATCCTTCAAAGTTTGGCAAAATATCTCCATTAAATTGTCCCTGATCTTACAGCTAGAAAAAATTTCCTTCCTCCCTTTCTAACCATTCATAACATTCTAAATCAGTGCTTCTCAAGCTTTAATATGCATGGGTCACAGTGGGATCTTGTTAAAATGCAAATTTTGACTGAGGCAGATTCTTTATTACTAAGTCCCCAGGACATAAACCAGCTAAAGACTTACTTACTTATCTGATACAAAATAAAGTCAAAGGATCCTTGAAGACTTCTATACTAAACTTTACATATATATATCATTATGTTCTTGCATTTACGGACATGCATTTCATTGCTGCTTTTGGATAGTTTTTCACTATCAACTTGACTATTCAGGGTGGATTTCACTATTCATTTATTTATTCATTTACTGGCTTATTCATACATAGCTCATGTCCTTTTAACTTGTACTTAAGGAACTTGGTTTTATACACATCTTAAATACCTCACAATATTATGTGTGCTTTTCATTTTTCAAAAGTTTTTTTCATTTTTGGGGCACCTAGGTGGCTCAGTTGGTTGAGCGTCTGCCTTCAACTCAGGTCATGATCCCAGTACCCTGAGATCATGACCCCCAGTGGGCAGAGTGGTAGGCAGAGAGAGTGCGGGAAGCTGGCTCTCTGCCTGCCTCTCTGCCTACTTGTGATCTATCTGTTAAATACATAAATAAAATCTTAAAAAAAAAAAGATTTTCTTTATTTTTCAGAGCACAAGCAAAGGGAGCAGCAGAGAGAGAGGGAGAAGCAGGCTTCCCACTGAGCAGGGAGCCCAGTGTGGGTCATGATCTCAGGGTCCTGGGATCATGATCTGAGCTGAAATCCAGTCAGACACAACCAAATGAGCCACCCAGGCATCCCGCTTAGAAAAAATTTTTAATAAGTAATCTCTACACCCAATATGGAACTCAAACTCATGACCCCAAGATCAAGAGTTGTATGCTCTATGAACTAAGCTAGCCAGGTGCCCCTGCTTTTCATTTCATAGGTGATAAAACAGAAGCTTATAGAAGCTATGTAACCTGCCTGATATCACATAGCTACTGTAAGACTCAGGAGTTTAACTGAAGTCTGTTGGCTCTACATCCAGTAATTTTTTAGTTATACCATCCAAAATGTGCTGCTTTATAGTCCCAAGTATCAATGTCATATGAGATAAAAGCAGAAATCATTTATTCCTTCAACAATTACTTTGTGATGTTTACATTCTGGGTTCTGTGGTAAGTGCTGGGGTATAGAAAAGATCAGGGAATTCTCTGTTTCTAATGGACAGTTAAGCAAGGTTTCATCAAGGAAGGAGCATTCCAGTTCAGTCTTAAGTCTCAACTCCAGGGAAGGAGGAGAAAGGCATTCTAAGCATGAGGACCAGGATATGCATAGGTCTGGAGAGAAGACACCAAGGGACATTTTATTTTTTATTTTTTCCCAAGGGACATTTTAGAACAAAGGATTTGTATGCACAAATACTATAGACAGGTATCATTGAGAGAGACCTGGACAGAATTTAGAAGGAAAATATACACTGAAAATACTCATGGTTAGAGTAAAAGCAGCAGCAAAAGGGAGAATTTACATGACATGCTTAGGAACCAGAGAAAAGACTTATAGAGTCAAATTTTCAAGTTCGAAAACAATAAAAAATAAGTGTGGAGCCAGTTAATAGTGAAAACTGAGCAGCAGTATCATTGCTAACATGTACTAAGCTCTTCAATCTGCCAGATATAGTACTAAGTACTGTGCATCTGCAAAATATTTCAGCACTTGTTTATTAATTCCCAGTCTGTATATGAGAAAACTGAAGCTGAGAGGCTAGGTAACTTGGGCAACATCACATGGATAGTAACTGCCAAAGCCAGGATGTAAACCCAGGACTCTTTTACAAAAATATAAGAATCACCACAATTTCATGGAAATAATTCTGATTAGCTCTGAATTCAGATCCTTCACATGGAGGTTACTGAACTTCTCTAAGCCTCATTTTCATCATAAAATACAAGAAAAATGAAGCTCAGAAGAATTCTTATAAACACCAAAGAAGGGGCACCTGGGTGGCTCAGTGGGTTAAAGCCTCTGCCTTCGGCTCAGGTCATGATCTCAGGGTCCTGGGATCGAGCCCCGCATCGTGCTCTCTGCTCAGCGGGGAGCCTGCTTCCTCCTCTCTCTGCCTGCTTCTCTGCCTACTTGTGATCTCTGTCTGTCAAATAAATAAATAAAATCTTAAAAAAAAAAAAAGAAAAAAAAAGAAAAGACCAAAGAAGTCATTTGCTTAAAATACTCTGTAAACTTAGGTGCACCTGGGTGGCTCAATCGGTTAAGCAGCTGCCTTCAGCTCAAGTCATGATCCCAGGGTCCTTGGATCGAGCCCTGCGTTAGACTCCCTGTTCAGTAGGGAGCCTGCTTCTCTCTCTCCCTCTTCCACTCCCCCTGTTTATGTTCTCTATCAAATAAATAAATAAAATCTTTAAAAAATCCTCTAAATTTAATGCACAATGTCATACACTTGAGGGTATTTTTTTTTAAAGATTTTATTTATTTATTTGACAGACAGAGATCACAAGTAGGCAGAGAAGCAGGCAGAGAGAGAGAGAGAGAGAGGGAAGCAGGCTCCCTGCGGAGCAGAGAGCCCGACGCGGGACTCGATCCCAGGACCCTGAGATCATGACCCGAGCCGAAGGCAGAGGCCTAACCCACTGAGCCACCCAGGCGCCCGAGGGTATTTTTATACATATATCTATTTTTGTCTATACATCTTTGGATATACAGGGAGTCTGTATCCTTAGAAGCTAAATGGAGAAGTTCGAATAAACCTTACATCCATCCGTTAGGTTAAGTTTACTTATTCCAGGCTTCTTGGTTTAGTATAGAGTCAATGGGTTAGCTTGTTGTATCACTGTTAGTTTTCTTAGGTGTGTTTGAGAAAAGTTATTTCAGGGGGTTAGGGTGGATAAGGCACATATACACACAAATATATGAGTTTGAACAATGATAAGACAATTTTTTTTAAAGTCTAGTAAATTAAAGTTGATATTCCTCCCAAATCACTATGCTACCAAATTTAGATTAAACAAACTGAAATACTTTGGGTTGCTATATTTCACCAAATATTCATATTAAGTTTAAAATAAACGTATCAAGGGAGCCTAGGTGGCTCAGTGGGCTAAGCACATGCCTTTGGCCCAGGTAATGATGCCAGCGTCCTGGGATCCAGCCCCCAATGGGCTCCCTGCTCAGTGGGAAGTCTGCTTCTCCCTCTTCTCCTGTACCTGCTCTCTCTCTCAAATAAATAAAATCTTTTTTAAAAATTTAGAAAAAAAAGTAAAATAGAAGTATCAGCTATGTTCTCTATGATAAATAAAAATTATATTTTCCATTTTAAATTATAACCAAAATTATAATACCGTTTTTTCTTTTAAAAAAATAGAACTTTATTTATTTTTTAAAGATTTTATTTATTTATTTGACAGAGATCACAAGTAGGCAGAGAAGCAGGCACAGAGAGAGGAGGAAGCAGGCTCCCTGCTGAGCAGAGAGCCTGATGTGGGCTCGATTCCAAGACCCTTGGGATCATGACCTGAGCTGAAGGCAGACGCTTTAACCCACTGAGCCACCCAAGCGCCCCCCCCCGCCCCCCCCGCCGCGCCCGCCTTTTTTTTTTAACTTAAATTTTAGGTAGTTAACATACAGTGCAACATTGGTTCTTTTCAAACACCACCACTCACAAATCAAGAGGAAAACAAAACAAAGAAAAGGAAAACAAGCTACACTAACTGATGCACTCTGAAACCATATTTTTCTTTCTTTCTTTCTTTCTTTTTTTTTTTTTAGAATTTATTTATTTGTCAGTGAGAGAGAAAGAGAACGTAAGCAGGGGGAGCAGCAGGCAGAGGCAGAAGCAGGCTCCCTGCCCAGCAAGGAGCCCCATGTGGGACTTGATCCCAGAGCCCTGAGATCCTGGCCTGAGCCAAAGGCAGATGCTTAACCGACTGAACCACGAAGGCACCCCTGAAACCAGATTTATTGGCAAACTCCAGGTTCTTCTTCTCTAGACTGAAATTTCTACAGCTTTATGAGTAATCTTTTTTATTATCAGGCAGTAAGTCCGGTTACATAGTCTAATAAAAGTAAAATTTGAAACTGACTAGCAGAGAAAAATTCGGGTTACAAAGAGTCTGGTGAGGAACAGAGAAGAGGAAAACAAACTTTCCTGTGATGTAGAAAAAGAAAAATCTAGTAGAACTGCTTCCTCGCAACAGGACAAGGAATTAAGTAAAAGCCTTTGGGAACAACCTAACTGTATTACAAGAAGTTTCAAACATTCTTGGGGCCACTTCTCTGAATATTGAGGTCAAACACTATAAAACAGGAGGAAAACTGGGACGTCCGCAAGATATCAGAGTCCATAAAAAACAAAAACAAAAACAAAACAAAAAAACAAAAAAACACCCACGAACTCCCAGAGGGAAGTTTGTATTCGCAGTACCGAATCTAATCCCAGCATTAAGTTATCCATAAATAAAAGAGGAACACCGCTCCCCTACACTGTTTTCATTCTGACACCTACCCTGGCCAATCTAACCACCCCTTTTTTGAATAACAGCAAGTCACTGCAGAAATAAAATCTTACTGTTGCGTGGGCTCACTTGAGGCGCTGGGCGAGTCAGAAGCCAAACAAGTAATTTGGGACGTTCCCCGCCCGCCACTCAGGCCCTTCCCGAAGGCCGGGCAGGCGCAGAGGGCTCCGGTCCCCAGTCAGCTTCCTGCCCGTCCCCACCCGGCCGCAACCACCTCAGTACGAGAGAGAGCCCGCCGCGTGGGACCCCGCGTCCACCGGGGGGACGGGCCTTCCTGGGGTTCAGCCTCACCTTCCGCGTCTGCCGAAGAGACAAAGGTGAAGTCCCCGTTCGTAGGGGAATACGCCGGGGGCGGGCCCGGCGGCTGCATCTCGCGGCCCCTCTGCGGCTGGGCCCAGGCCCCAAGGCGGCCCAGGCACCCGCCCGCACGCACACCCTACGCTGAGGCCCGCGATCCGCGAAGAGCAGGCTGGCAGCGAGGCCGGAGACAAGCTGCCCCCGAGGCTGCCCCACCGAAGTCCTTTAGGTGGCGACCGCCCAAGCACCACGACGCCGGCGCCCTGACAGCACCACAACAGTGACAGCGGCCCTTGGATTGGCTCTTTGTAATGTGCTCTCCCATTGGCTCCCGGGAGAAAGGTTCTGATTGGGTCTCTCCGTTGTTGATTCCGGAAATTGACCCAAGGATGGGAAGTTCACCTCTAATTCGTGGAACCTCGATGCTTCACCTACTTTTTTGGCTGCTATTGTTTACTTTATGTCTCTTCGCTTGTAGCTTTTCTTTACTTGTTTCCAACGTTTTTGTTAAGTGGATGGGCTACAGAATTTTAGAACTAGGAACGTTCCTAGAGGTCAGCTCCGGTCTAGGATACCAAGATTGCTTTGCTTTCCCATTACATTGATTACTTGTAATGGGATTTTGAGTAAATTATATAGCGCCTCCGAGAGTCACGTGTGAAAGGAAGGGGGCTGGATTGGGTAATAAAGAAGCAGATAAGTTGTAAATTGCCACCCAGAAACTGGGGCTGTACTCTAGCTACATTATGAGGAAGACCACTGAGGCCCAAATAAGGAAGGAATAGAATTAGGATGGTACTCAAATCTTCGGACTTCTAGTCCAGTGCTCTTTTCACTACAAGGCCCTGTCTGTTGATAAACTTAACCAAATTTACGGACCCATCTACGTTTTTAAACGGTTAAATAAATATACTTAAATTTAATATACAAGTTACATAACTGTGGCTTCCAATATGGAGAGAGAGGGTTTGGGGTAAAACATGAGACAGACTTGCAGAGGTGCGTGATGCATTAGCAGTAGAGCAATGGGAAGGCGTGGTATGGCCATCAATGAGTAAAAGGGAATATTGAAAGTTTTTGCGTAGGAGATAACAATTAAGTTGGTACCTAAAGGATGGTGAAAACTTCTGGGGAAGAAGGCGGGGAGGGGGTGCTGTCAGCTTGGGTCCTATTATTCCAGAGATCATTTAATGGACTTGGGAAACCAGAAGTCATTTAGATTTTTTTGGAGTTTAAGTCTCAGGGGAGAAATGGCTACAGATGAGATTGCATGAATAGGTAAAGAAGAGATCATAAGGGACGCCTGGGTGGCTGGGTTGGTTAAGCATCTGCTTTTGGCCTAGGTCATGATCCCAAGGTCCTGGGATTGAGTCCCGCACTGAGGGTCCAGTTCAATGGGGAGCCTGCTTCTCCCTCTGCCTGCAACCTTTGTGTGTGCTCACTTGCTCTCTTTCAAATAAATAAATAAATAACATCTTTTTAAAAAAGATCATTAATAATCTTGCATGCTATTCAAAGGATTGGCTTTTCCCCCTTTCTTTTCTGGAAGTGTTAGAGGAACCATTAAAGGAATTACAGCAAAGGAATGACATATCAGATATCGAGGGCACATAGTTGTATGAGACTTTTGCAGAAATATAAGTCTTGGACTATGGTTGCAGCATTGGAGATGGCAAAGAGGAAACATGTATGAGATATGCTAAGTTTAAGAATCCCCAGAACTTCATGATCAATAGGAAGAGTTTGGATTAAAGAAGAGGAAAGAGCCTAGTGTGATTTCATGTTTCTTGCTTAGGTGGTTGGAAGTGTTTGTTATTTGTCAAGTGATGAAACAGAAGAAGAGGAAAAAGAGGACCTCGTGTGGGGAGAGGGGAAAGTTTTGAACACCGTGCATTTAAGAATACACAGGTTGAGCTGACTAGTTACTCTTCGGTAATAAAGATTCAGTGCACAGAGTTCTGAACTGAAGATAAAGTGTTGTAATCATCAGTGTATAGTTGGTAATTGCATCTATGAATATAGATGAGATGTCCCAGGTAGAGTGTGGTGAGTGGGAGAAGAGTACCAAGAATGATACTCTTTGGAACACCACCATTTAAAGGCAATCTAAGAAAAGTTAGCCTGAAAAGGAGGTGAGATGAGTTGCAATTTAAAGTAGGATGGTCAGGTGCTTGCTTCGGCAGCACATATACTAAAATTGGAATGATACAGAGAAGAGTATCATGGCCCCTGCACAAGGATGACATGCAAATTCATGAAGTGTTCCATATTTTACAAAATAAAATAAAATAGGATGGTCAGAATAGGCAAAATTGGGAAAGTGACAGTTGAGCAAACATTTGAAGGATGTGATCATTTGTACTGGATACACTCAGTTAAGTTGGAACTATGATTTGTAGAATTCATATTTGTATATGCCTTCAGGTTAGAGTTTCTCAAAAGAATAGTTTGTACAAGATTTGTAAGGTAGAAGTGAAGCAGTAGCCATTGCATTGCAAGCCTCTTCTTAGATGTGGTGATGAACAAATGCAGGGAGTTCCAGCTACTCCTGATGGTCCTATGGTTTACATTCAAGTGTTCTTGCTATTTGCAAACCCTATCAACCAACAGAGGCCACTAGACAATTAGCTGTGACCCCACAGAGGTGATAGTTACCCGGATGAACTGTCACACTCACTTCAGGAGTTGGATGTGCTTAGCTTCTCAAATCAGTTGGTGACTCCTCTGGTTCTTCAACTCTCTCTTCTAAAACCTGCACATTCCCAGTCATTTTATCTTCAAATAATTTCTCTATCCCTTTCTCTCTCTCTCCCGTTGTGGTATTTCCATAATATGTATTTGGTCCACATGATGGTGTCTCACAAGCCCCTTATGCTCTGATCACCTTTCTTCATTCTTTTTTCCTTTCTTTGGAAGCAAGATTCTCTCTCTCAAATAAATAAAAAAAACCTTTAAAAATATTTTCAATACATTGAAGACATTCCACTCTCTTTCGTTTTCTAGTTGCTGTTGGAAAATGAGCTTCATTTGACTGAAGATGATTTCTCTATTTTCCTTGGTTGCTTTTAATTTGTGTTTGCCTTTCTGTATGCAGAGAATGGAAATGGAAATGAGTAAGTGGTATGGATTTCTTTTTGGGTATACTGCTTGGAATTTATTGGGTAACCTGAACCTCAAGGTTGTTGTCTTTCTTCAGTTCCTGAAAATTTTAGTTATTATCTCTTCCAATAGTGCCACTACTCTTCTCTCTCTCCTCTCTTTCTGAAACTCCAATTAGATATATAACAGTAACAGCAACCCTTCGAGGATACTTTTAGCTAACAGTTTTACGGCACTTACTATGTGCCAAGTAGTACTCTAAGTGCTTTTAAAAAAGATTTTCTTATTTATTCCAGAAAAAGGAGGGGGAGGGGCAGCAGGAAAGGAAGAGAGAATCTCAAGCAGACTCTACACTGAGCATGGAGCCCAACACAGGGCTCACTCCCACAACCCCAAAACCATGACCTGAGCCAAACCTAAGAGTCAGATACCCAACCAACTGTGCCTCCCCCACCCCACTACTGTAAATGCTTTACATTAAATCATTTAATCCTCATTACAAACTCATGAAATAGGTATTCTTTCCCCATATTACAAATAAGGAATATGAGGCATATAAAAATTAATCACTTGCTAAAGATCACAGAAATACTAATTGGCAAAATCAGGATGTGGACCCTGGTAATCTGACTCTAGGGCTCTGACCTCAATGCTTTGAAACCGCTTTGTGTTTTGCTACTCCTGAGAGTTCATTATTCCCCCTTTGATGTTTAAGTTTTGTGGTGGTGGTGTTTTGTTTTGTTTGGGTTTTGGCTCTATTCAAGTTAGTGGGTCACTTCACACAGCTCTGGTTGTTTACTGAATGTGACACCTTGCATTCAACTTGCAGTGGCCACAACAGAACTTAAAAGAGTAGTTTTGATGTTGCTGTGCAAGGGCTGCTTGTATTCTCAGTCACTGGGTTGTCATATAATCTTAGTAAATTGTAGACATCCATTCCTCCAATCCAGACTTTGGGCAGCTGAGGTCAGGAGATTTTCAGACTGTGATTCTTGTCTCTGGAATCTTGTTTCAGGAATTCATGACCTCTTTTGGTTCTTTAAATAATGGTTTTGTTGACCTTCAAATGCTATGTTTCATTTGCTAATTTGACTTTCATGTTTTAACTATTGTTTAAGAGGGCTAGTTTACTCAGACTAAGAAACTTTAACTGTGATAGTCACTGAGATTACCTCAAACTCCAGTGGGAAACCCATGGCTTGTTTTTTGGTTGTCTTTATAACTTTTTTCATCTTAAAATTAATGCATACATATTAGAGAAAATAGAAAGGAAAAATTGCCCTATTATATTACCTATAGAGGTAAATACCATTAACATCTTCATGTAAATTTTTACAATCCTTTTTAAGGATTTTGTATATAAAATATATTATCTCATACACACTGTTTTATAACATTAATATTTTCAATGTCACCATATATTTTTCTATGTTTGTAATGCTGGCTTTTATTTCATTTAGTGAAGATGTTATAGTTATTAAAAAAAATTCCCTATCTTTGGACATTGGATTTCCTTCCAAATTTTCATAATTATAAACAGTACCATGATAAACAAACTTTCAGCTTTGTACATATTCATGAATGTTTCTCTAGGATAAGATTTTCAAAGAGAAATAACTGAGGTCAAAGAGGGTACAAATCTCTATAGTGTTTAAATACTTATTGCTAACTTGTCCTGTTATAGAGGTAACAAGAAGTTGTACCTCTATTGGCTGAGTGTAAGAGTACTTTTTTCCCTACTCCATTTCCATTATCAACGCTAGCTATAGTCATTTTCTCAAACACGCTAATGTGATGAGTGATGCATATTTTGTTGTCTCAATTTTCATTTCATTGATTTCAATTACCTTATGATACTCAAAGTACTTGAAAAGTGGACAGGATCTAAGTAGTGGGTAGGAGAGACATCTGAATGGGAATGAAAGGAAGTGTTTTCAATTTTTAGTTAATGCTAGTGAGAGAAGAATATAATACAAAAACTGTAATGTAAAGGTAAATAAATCCCTGACCCCAGGCAACTGTCATTAAATTTATAGCCAAGGAAGCAGATGTTGTGTACACTTAAAGGAATGGATGGTAAATCTGGAAAAACGGAATTGAAAGCTCTCAGAATGTATTTAAGCACATTGTAGGGTCATTACATAAGGACCAGTAT